AAAGATACTGTATAGTTTGCCTCCATGCTAGAAAGAAGATGGATGGGAACTAATGACGGATTCTTACCATTAAGGGTACATTGGTCTCCAGTTCTAACATCTTTATTACTGATATTTCCCCCCTGGTTGAACCCAAACAGATGATATCCAGAAACCAAGCTTGTCATTCTTTTTATCTGTTAAAAAACATTGTCACTATTTTTCATGCTGATCTAACAACCCACCCTCTATATGTACAACTGCAATCTGTAATTCCATTCCATTGTCTGAGGAAGTGTGCTTTGCACACGAAACTCACACCTTGAATAAAACTTTGTTGGTCTTAAAGGCAGGGCTATTTTTGGGCATAACAACACCTGGTCAAGACAGTTTTGTTTTCTGGATGTGTTTCTAAATAGTATGCTATATACTATTGACCACGGAGGAAGGCCTTTGTGGCCGGAACGCATATGGTCTTGTGCTGGTCATTTGACTTTTTCATCGATTTTGTATGGGAAATGATTACAGCTGATGTAAATCTTGTTCTAGAATTATTCTTAGTGCAGCCTGATATTCAGGCCCTGTTTCTAATTACATTTGTGTGTAATAATATTTATTTATTATTTACTTTGTTCAATTTATTCATTATTGATTTCATTGCATTTATTATTTATTATTTATTTCATTCAATTTATTTATTATTTAACATTTATTTATTTTTTTATTTCATTCAATTTGCCAGACCGCCCTTCCCTGAAACAGGGCCCAGGGCGGCTTACATCAAATAACAAATATTTCTCTTGATATAATTTAATTTGCTGTAGCTTGACCCTTGTAGCGTTCCCTGTACAGATGACCCATCAGACGATAACTGAGTGTACAGGGAGGGAGAATGGGCATGAGCACACCAGCCCCCTCCCCAAGATCACAAGTCATCTTGTGCCTGTGTTTACACTTCCTCCCTGGGATCAGTATTGCTGCTTTCTGAACATTGCTAATCATGGGGAGAGAGTATACATGCAGACACTTCCTCTGTGTGTTCACACCACGCAGATGATTTAGCAATTCCACGAACGGGGGGCAGTGTGCTTAAGCCCCCTCTTAACTCCCCACGTGGTCAGCCCACACATGGATGGATTGCCTGCACGGGGCTAATGTGTTGGGCAATTGTGAGAAGACTGTGGAGGAAACCATTGAAGGTTGGCCTTCCACCTTATTTCCATTTCCTTTAACGTTCTTTACTGAGGAACAGTTCTTCAGTCTACAGAAGAAGGGGGGGGAGCTTTCTCAGTGCGTAGGGACTGAATGAATGGGAAGGAAGTCAGTATATTTCCTCAGACACGTGGAGCTATTGTGTATTTTTGTCCCAATTGCTCAACAAAGTCATGAGCACAATTTTCTCTTTCTCTGAAAGCGGAGGTTTTCTAGAGTGATACACCAATGCCCACCAGCTTCTACCACAGATTATTCCATGATTATTTTTCTCCGTGACTTTTTTTTAAAGCTGAGTGGTGGGGAACAAACCGCTCCCCATCGCTCAGCCGTTTTCGGGCTTTCTGCAAACCCCATTGAAAGGGACTGTGGTCCCTTTCAACAGAGTTTGTGGGGCCACAAACCATGAACCAGTTCCATTTGCAAACAAAACTTCTGGTTCAGTTTGGTTCATAGTGCAGTCACAAACTGAACTGCATTTTCCTTGTTCGTGCCCATCCTTCTGTTTGACTCCCAGGCATTTTCCTTTCCTTTCCTTTTTATCCCCTTAGAAACACAGGCACAAAGAAACCCAAGCAAACAATTTATTAGGTCATTTATAATCTGTTGTCCCCCCAGGGATGTGCATTTGGATATTTCAGCTCCAAAAATATATATAAAAAATACCTCATTGATATTTTGGGAATATATTTGGGTATCCAGAGTAATATTCGGTTTTTCTACAGGAGCGGTAGTTGGGTCCTGAACAATTCTGGAAATATTTGGGAGTATCCAGGGCTGGCATTTCAAGGCTCCTGGGCCAGTTTAATTCTACAGGATTTCTGGGCAACAGGAAGGAGGGAGGCAGGCAATGAGATAAGATGTTAAGAGGATCACTAGAAATGTCTGCCCAGTCATGATGACTCTCTCTGCACAAGACAGCCCAAAACAGCTGAGTGTTGTGGGGCAGGGTGATTCTGCACTAATGCGATGCAGGGCAAGGGAGAAGGGGAGGGAAGGGGGTAGGGAGAGTAGCCTGGTGGCATGGGGAAGGTCTTCTCGGTGTGCTTCTACCCCACATATTCCTGCTTACATGGTGAAGGCGGCTTTTCCATCCCTTGTGCAGAACCAACCCCAGATTCCACAGGTTGATTTTCACAAGATGGAAGTCACTGGGTGGGGATGACCCACCCAACCTGTGAACCCCACTACAGTCCATACATGATCTGTGTTTCCAGCCTTACTCTCAGCATGCTGTTCCCACTCTGGATTGCTCCACTTTCGCCTTCACTCCTGTGCCGTTACCTCCATATAGTCTGGGGAAGGAACTGTGTGGCCCACTGTGAAAAGCCATTGCTGATGAACTGTAGACAGGAAGCCGAGAAGTGCTGTCTGTCTGGATTCCTGCAGTATGTGGGCATGATTAATCACTGGGGGAAAGGCAATCGTCCGCTTTAAGATTAGCTAGGAAATACGGGATGGTTTTGAACTTTCCACTCCTGCTCTTTTGACTCTTCATATCCCCACTTTGATTTCACTTCTCCTTCGTGAGAATCAAACCCACAGCTGGCTCATTAGAGTCTCATATAAGACTTCAGACAGCTAACCGCTGAAAGTGAATTCATTCAAGGGATTTAAGAGTATTAACTTGAGACTTTATGGCAGGACTTGTGAATTAATAATTACATGAAACTAACTGCTTTACTTATTTCAAGGTGGTTTGCAAATAGGAGTTCTTGCTTATCCATTGATTAATCAGAGTTTCACGCCATGATATTTTATTCAGTTGACTGAGGATCAGGGCTTTTTTTGTAGAAAAAGCCCAGCAGGAACTCATTAGCATAATAGGCCACACCCAACAGCAGAGACCCATTAGCATATTAAGCCACACCCCTGTCAGCACAGCTCATTAGCATATTAGGCCACACCCCACATGTTACCAGCGGGACCATTGGGGCGGGGTGTGTGGCCTTATGACACACTTCCGGTGATGTCAGGGGGTGTGGCCTTATGACACACTTCCGGTGATGTCAGGGGGTGTGGCATATGCTAATGAGTTATGCTAATGAGTTCCCCTAGCTCTTTTTCTACGAAACGACCCCTGGGGGTGAGCAAACTCTGCGGGCTCTCAGGATCAGACCACTATAATCGATTTCGAGGACACGATATTTCCCTTTTTATCCAGAGCAAAAACACACACACACGTGGCTCCGCTTCAAAGGGAAAGCAATAAGATGGCTGAGGGTGAATATCTGTGTGGAAGCTCTGCCTGCAACCAGTCCAGGAAAACAGAACTAAGCTTCGCCATTCTCCTCCCTCCTTTGACCCTTTATTGGCTTCCCCTCTACCACTCAGCTGTAAAAGAAAGAGGGTTGTTGTGGGGCAGGTCTAGTCACATGGGTGATTCTGCACTAATGTGATGCAGGGCAAGGGAGAAGGGCAGGGAAGGGGGTAGGGAGAGTTGCCTGGTGGCATGGGGAAGGTCGTCTCACTGTGCTTCTACCCCACATATTCCTGCTTACATGGTGAAGGCGGCTTTTCCATCCCTTGTGCAGAACCAACCCCAGATTCCACAGGTTGATTTTCACAAGATGGAAGTCACTGGGTGGGGATGACCCACCCAACCTGTGAACCCCACTACAGTCCATACATGATCTGTGTTTCCAGCCTTACTCTCAGCATGCTGTTCCCACTCTGGATTGCTCCACTTTCGCCTTCACTCCTGTGCCGTTACCTCCATATAGTCTGGGGAAGGAACTGTGTGGCCCACTGTGAAAAGCCATTGCTGATGAACTGTAGACAGGAAGCCGAGAAGTGCTGTCTGTCTGGATTCCTGCAGTATGTGGGCATGATTAATCACTGGGGGAAAGGCAATCGTCCGCTTTAAGATTAGCTAGGAAATACGGGATGGTTTTGAACTTTCCACTCCTGCTCTTTTGACTCTTCATATCCCCACTTTGATTTCACTTCTCCTTCGTGAGAATCAAACCCACAGCTGGCTCATATACAGACAGCTAACCACTGAAAGTGAATTCATTCAAGGGATTTAAGAGTATTAACTTGAGACTTTATGGCAGGACTTGTGAATTAATCATTAAATGAAACTAACTGCTTTACTTTTTTCAAGGTGGTTTGCAAATATGAGCTCTTGCTTATCCATTGATTAATCAGAGTTTCACGCCATGATATTTTATTCAGTTGACTGAGGATCAGGGCTTTTTTTGTAGAAAAAGCCCAGCAGGAACTCATTAGCATAATAGGCCACACCCAACAGCAGAGACCCATTAGCATATTAAGCCACACCCCTGTCAGCACAGCTCATTAGCATATTAGGCCACACCCCACATATTACCAGAAGTGCGCTCATCCAGCCACAGCCACCTTTTGCTTCTTATTCTGTTTACCTTGTTTGTTGTCAAAACCCAGGGCCTTTTTTGTAGCAGGAACTCCTTTGCATGTTAGGCCACACACCCCTAATGTAGCCAATCCTAATAAGTGTCTGCTGTTGGGTGTGGCCTATTATGCTAATGAGTTCCTGCTGGGTGTGGCCAACTCAGGAGCCAGCCGGAACTCCGTTCCTCTGCGTTCCTGCCCAAAAATAACCCTGCTGAGGATATAATGAACTGAGGAGCTAGTATTGAATCTGAGAGAAATTTCAAGATAATTTGGGGCTAGATTTTCTTCCGTTCTTTTAGTTGGTAGAAGGTTTATTTATTTCATGGGTAATAACCATGGTCCTAAAGATAAAAGATTCTTTATTTTCCATCTTTAGAAATGAATGCAAGAAACATGAACAACCCCCCCAGGTCTACTGAATGAGGCATATCCAGTAAAATTATACGTTCCCTCAGGAGATGGTGTCTGCTCTCCCTAGTCCTTCGTTTCTCCTCTCTTGCCTTTTCCTCAGGAACAGGTCTTGAAGTAGCTACAAGGGAGGGAGGTTGGCTCAACTTTGGGGTTTAAACGTACTCATCATACATTATGATGTTGCCCATTCACTGTCTAAGCACCACCATTTTTTCAGTACATTGACATTCTTTTTCTGTTCAGTCCCACAGATTTTCTATACGCCTGTTCTGCGAGAAGACGTCGCTGCTGTCACTAAAGGTTGGTTTACAACCAAAACTGCCCGGAGAACAATGTGATTCTGTCCCCCCTCCCCCAAGTATTAAAGATTTGTGTCTCCTCTCTCTCCATAACTGCAGGCTGCCCCGTCAGATGGGAATTCTTCAAGGGCAAATGCTACTTTTTCCCTACCACACTGCAAACATGGAATGAGAGCCAGAAGATCTGCGCTGAGTTCAGTTCTCATCTCGCCGTTGTCAACAGTGAAGAAGAATTGGTGAGTAAAGAGAATTGTTTTAAAAAATAAGAGGTCTTCTTGGAAGGGCAAACCCACCCAGTCCACTTCAGACTGCTTTCAGTAGGACACAGGTGGCAGCTTCTCGGGAGAAAACGAAGGGCTGCGGTCACACGTGCCAGTTGGAACGGAGGGGAAGTGAGGCCAGGGCTAGTTTTGGGCAGGAACGCACAGGAACGGAGTTCTGGCTGGCTCCCAAGTTGGCCACACCCAGCAGGAACTCATTAGCATATAGGCCACACCCAACAGCAGGAACTCATTAGGATTGGCTACATTAGGGGTGTGTGGCCTAACATGCAAAGGAGTTCCTGCTACAAAAAGAGCCCTGGTTTTGACAACAAACAAGGTAAACAGAATAAGAAGCAAAAGGTGGGTGTGGCTGGATGACCACACTTCTGGTAACATGGGGGTGTGGCCTAATATGCCAATGAGTTGTGCAGTCAGGGGTGTGGCCTAATAGGCTAATGAGTGCCTGCTGTTGGGTGTGGCCTATTATGCTAATGAGTTCCTGCTGGGCTTTTTCTACAAAAAGAGCCCTGAGTGAGGTTATCTCCTCCGGAGGAATTTGAAATGCAGTTGTGATATCACACATCCCTTCGTAGCTGTGTGATCAGATGCAGGTGAGTCGGGGGGGGGGTGGCCGTTTGTTTCCCATGCACATAAACGAGGAATCACACCTCCACACTGAGGGCCCCCTACGGAGTATGTGATGATGCACATACTGCGAGGCGGGGGGAAATGATACCAAGCCAGGATGGCCTGATCAGGCCATCCCCGGAAGCGTGAGCGCATGCTTGCACAATCAGACCAGGGAAAGCCCATCCATGGCCCGTTGGAACCCGGACTCTTTTAACTCCACTTCTGTAGCAGAGTAGCATGGGTTGCTGACGACTGTGGGATGCGTCCCCGCTGTTGCTGTCTGATCGCACCCTTTAGAACCATCAGGCATTTGCACCTATGTTGGCTCTAAAGGCGCGTGTGATCGCAGCCGAGGTTTTTTATACCCCACTTTTCAGTACCTTAAGGAGTCTCAAAGCAGATTACCATCACATTCCCTTCCCACAACAGGCCCCTTGTGAGGTAGGTGGGGCTGAGAGAGTTCTGAGGAATTTGTGACTGGCCCAAGTTCACCCAGAAGGTTTCAGGTGAAGGAGGAGTGGGGAATCAAACCCAGGTCTCCGAATTAGAGTCGGCTGCTGTTAACCACTACTCCATGCTGGCTCAGAAACATGAAGATAATCTAAAAACAGACTCAAATCATTAGCCCTCCTTTTTTCCACTACCTTGGGTTGATTTTGATATCTAAAATCCTTATAATTTTTCTCTTCTAAAAACAATTGTTTTGCACAACTCGAGAGGGGAAACTAGATCCATCTGCTGCCACAAAAACAAAGGCTAAGCAATACACTGTGGCATAAATGTCTTTAAATGCATCAAGCGCATGCTCATTTGTCAGGGATAAGAACATAAGAACATAAGAGATGCCAATATGTCAGCAAGCTGCCAAGTGTATTTTCTTTGCTTATGAGTTGTATCCAAACCCCCCCCCTTGCCTTCATGTCCAGTAATTCATATGCGCATGCCCGCACCTACCCCCCTGCATTTAATTGTAACTGAATTCCTTTCTGTGTACGCTTGCAGAGCTTTGAAGGCAACTTATCAGTAATGCAGCAGGTGGTTGTACTTGGAGGCTTTTTGCTTAGTCTATCATGCAATGTAGCGTGAGAATAGAATGCTTGTTTAATTAGTTCAAACCGTTGTGTTCCCAAGGTTTGGGTGCGAGGGGAATCCTTTGGCGCCAGCGGGAATCATATCTATTGGCCCAACCTATTTTGAATTTCCTTTATTATACCTGTATCAAGCCCATTGTGTCATTCCTGACAGAGATTGTGTTCTACCCGTTTCATGGCTTTAATAAAATAAAACCTTCTTGCAAGAGTGTATCTTATTATAGGCTGTGATTCTGACACAATGTTGGATCAGGCCAAAGGCCTATTCAGTCCAACACTCTGTATCACACAGTGGCCAGAAATACCAGTGCCATCAGGTGGTCCACCAGTGGGGCCAGGACATTAGAAGCCCTCCCACTGTTGACCCCCCCCAAGCACCAAGAAGACAGAGCATCACTTGCCCCAGAGTCCCTGTCTATACCTTGTGGCTAATAGCCACTGATGGACCTCTGCTCCATATGCTTATCTAATTCCCTTTTGAAGCCGTCCATGCTTGTAGCCGCCACCACTTCCTGTGGCAGTGAATTCCAAGTGTTAATCACTCTTTGGGTGAAGATGTACTTCCTTTTATCCGTTCTAACCTGACCGCTCAGCAATTTCATGGAGTGCCCAGGAGTTCTCGTATTGTGAGAAAGGGAGAAAAGTACCTCTTTCTCTACCTGCTCTTTCACGGTGATACACGGTGGCCTTCAGCTTCCTGTTTTATTAAAACTGTTTTTAAAAATATATCCCACCCACCCAGTGTCTGTATGGAATTTCCACTGCAGGGGGGCTCCACTTTCGTGATGCTGTCAACAATGTGCTCTTTCCCCACCAACTTCTCCAGGTTTTCCTGAAGAGCAGAACCCAGTTAGAAAAGTATTTTATTGGCTTAACTCAGAAAGATGGAAGGTGGTCATGGATTGACGGCACAGCATTTGACCATAACATGTATGTTCACTGTTATTCTGTTTATGATATTTATGGGGTGATAAGAGGAAGTTCTTTGTTTTTGCCCTGACCTGTGCGGCCCAGGATAGCCTGACCTCATCAGATCTTGAAAACTGAACAGGGTCAGCCCTGGTTAGTACTTGGATGCAGGGGTCATTTCGTAGATGAAGAGGTGCAGGAGCTCATTAGCATAACTTATTTGCATATGTCACACCCCCTGACATCACCGGAAGTGTGTCAGAAGGCAACACCCATGGCTTAGGCTCCACTGGACTAGCTACGGGGGGAACGTGCATATCTGCCCTCACAGCGGAGGGAGAGCTTGTACCTGAAAGGGAGGGGGGCTCTGCAATTTACCTGGCTGCTTCTTGCTCCTCATGGCCTGACTGAGGGCTACTGGCAGCAGGGGGCGGGGCTTGTTGCATGTGCCCTCCCCCTGGGCTCCTTACTGCCGGAGCGCCGCTCCTGTGCGCTCCCGCAGGAAATGACCCCTGCTTGGATGGGAGACCACCAAGGAAGTCCAGGGTTGCTGTGCAGACGGTAAACCAACTCTGAACATCTCATGCCCTGAAAACCCCGTGGGGCTATTGTATATCGGCTGTGACTTGATAGCCCTTTCCACTTCCGAGAGGAATACGCAAAACATCCTGTCTCAGATTCGGCCGTCGCACCCTTGACCCGCAACATGGGGCACGTTCAAGGGAAACGGGGACTGTTCAGGAACATAGGGACTGTTCAGGAAAAATGCTGGAAAATATCAGACATATAAATGTCAGGCTGTGCAGACGGTAAACCAACTCTGAACATCTCATGCCCTGAAAACCCATGGGGCTATTGTATATCGGCTGTGACTTGATAGCCCTTTCCACTTCCGAGAGGAATACGCAAAACATCCTGTCTCAGATTCGGCCGTCGCACCCTTGACCCGCAACATGGGGCACGTTCAAGGGAAACGGGGACTGTTCAGGAACATAGGGACTGTTCAGGAAAAATGCTGGAAAATATCAGACGTATAAATGTCAGGTATTTTTTCAGGTTTCCCCCCCGACAGTCAGTGAAAATGCTGGACTGTCTGGGTCAGTGCTTAGACACCTGGCAACCTCACCCTGACTAACCATTCATAGTGGAGTGGTCTATATGGTTCTTTGAATGGAACCATGGTTTTGCACCATGTCTGAATTGAGCCAATGTGTATAAAGGTCAGCTTCAGTCAACTGATACTTTAGTATCTAAAATGCACAAATAAGAATGAAGACAAAAGGTTTTTTTTTAAAAAAGTAGCCCTCAGAGAGGAATTTCAGGAGCAGCATTTCAAAATGTTTGAAATCCTGAGCAGCAAGCATCTTGATTTATGTTTGTAGCACACATGGACACAATGTGGGTGAATGAACTGCTGTATTCAGTATGATTATACCATCTCATTCCGTTTGGTGTGTCTATAAATATCAGGAGCCAGATGAAATACTCCACAGAGTATTTCTGTGCCACAGTCTGTATTTTGGAATGCCCCCACAATACCTTACATGGCTAACTACGGCACACATTCCTTCAGACAGTGTGTATGTGAGATTAAATTGGAACCACTGAAGAAGGCCTTCATGGCCAAAATACATCTGGTCCAATTTTATTGCTTGATTGGTTCCAACCAGTGCTTCTAAGAGTATAGGTAAAGGTAAAGATAAAGGTTCCCTTGCTCGAAAGCCAGTCTAATCCGACTCTAGGGTTGCGGTGCTCATCTCCGTTTCAAAGCCGAAGAGCCAGCGCTGTCTGAAGACGTTTCTGTGGTCATGTGGCCAGCATGACTAAACACCAAGGCGCCCGGAACGCTGTTACCTTCCCACCGAAGTGGTACCTATTTATCTACTTGCAATTTCTTGCTTTCGAACTGCTAGGTTGGCAGGAGCTGGAACTAGAGATGGGAGCTCACTCCATCATGCGGCACCCGGGTCTCGAACTGCTGAACTACTGACCTTCTACAGCCTGCAGTTCAGTGTCTTAACCACTTGAGCCACCGCAGCTCTAAGAGTATACCACATTGTATATTACGTGTACTGCAAAGTATATGGCCTGCATGGCCTAAAGGCCTATTTTGTTTTTACTCAACTGTTTAAGTGCACTCTTATTTTCTGACAACTCCCATATTTTATTATTTATTTATTTATTTATTTAAATCTATTCATGGTCTATCTTTCTCGCTGAGACTGAAGGCAACACTTGTTGGGTCTGTTGTCAAAGGAATGATTTTTTAAAAAAAAAATCCCTTCCCTTCACAGATTTAGTCTCAACCTCGGAAGTTTTCAATGCGCCGTGGTTGGATTCGGTTCCACTGATCGAGCAATGTGCTCTGTATCACACCGCTGTATTTGTGAAAAGAACGCATAAGAGCCTTCCTACCCATGGGAGCGCCACATCGATGAAGAAGATCTAGGTTCTTCTGTCAGCTTCCTAGACAATCTTGGGCCACCATCCAGCTTTAGTTGCCCGTGATCAGTAGTCCAGGGGAGAGGTGTGTGTGTGTATTCCCCCAACAAGACAAGAGGTATCGTGTCAGTTCCCAGTAGAACACCAAAACACAGAAGCAAAATGTGCTTCCGTGTGCACATCTGCTTCCACATTGGGGCCTTTTCCAGAGCCTGTTTTGAGGCACTCCCTTCCGCTGCACTGCAAGGTAAATTCACTCGAGTTCCAATGCATGAACGTATATGCCCATGGCATGGCTAATATGGTGGAATCAATTACTCATGTCCTCCTGTTCTGCAGATTCTATCAGGACGATCGAGACCATCTTATACCACCCCTTCTGTCTAGATTTAGCCCTCTGCAGTCTTATCTTGACTTTAGGCCAGAAGTCCTTCGTAAATTCCTCTTAGAAGACGTTCAGAGCTCAGTGACTTACGCTGTGGCAAAATTTTGTTGCTTAGCTATTAGGAAACATAAACTTATTTTAGCTGAAAACATTGTATGATTCTCTTATTAACGTTATGTTATTTTACTAATTTTATTAATTTTCTCTTGTTAATGTTTTTATACTATTCCTATGTTGTTACTGTTTCGATCCTTCTTATATCAGAATTGTACTGTTTTATTGGCTCTTGCTGTAATAAATTAGATCAATCACTTCCACATTGGTTTCATATAGGTAAGCCTGCTGAACCACTGTATCCACCTTATAGCAGCCCTGTTCACATGTTACAGTGAACGAATGTACCACCTGTACGTAAGTGCATACAGCTGTTCATAAGAAAGAGCCAACACCTGTTCACTTTACTAATGAAACTGGGGACCGACCAGTACCTGGATAAACTGAGGTTTAAACATGTTGAGCCGTACATGCGTTGAAGGTAATGGGAGAATTACTCTACACACATATAAAGACAAATTAAGTGTACAGTACGTGTGGACTGTATGTGCGTTCACTGTAACTTGTGAACATGGCTGCTGAGTCAGACTGTGCATCTTTAATCTGTGCAATTGTTTTTATTTTGTTCATGGATGTTTGCGTTTTTGTGCCTTTGCAACTCGTTGTGTTGTTAGCTGCCTTGTGTCTAAGGAAATAAGGTGGGATATAAACATTTTCAATAAAATAAAATAAATACATGAGGCTTGAATATCCTTTCAGCATCTTTTGGCCTAATTGGGCCAAATACCCAGATAATACAGCACAGAAAAAGGCAAACAGTCAGTGCTAATATGAATGATCAATAGAACGAAATTTAGAGTCCAGTGGCACCTTAAAGACCAACAAAGTTTTATTCAAGGTATGAGCTTTCGTGTGCATGCACACTTTTTCAGACTTTTTCAAATGATCAATGTAAGTCAGTTCTCATAGCAAACCAATGGAAGCAAGAATCTCTTTAAAACCTGTGAGTAAAGATGACCCTGGGTCTCACATATGAACACATGACGCTGTCTTACACTGAATTAGACTAGAGGTCATTTTGGGGGGGATCGCGGGGGATCGCAGTTCCCCCAGGTGAGGTATAGGGGCGGGGCACATGACGAAGCCCCGCCCCCTGCTTCCGGCCGCCCCGCTTCCGGCCCTCATTCAGCCAGGAGGAGGCAGGAGAAGAGGGAGGGTAAGTTGCTTCCTCCCTGCCTCTCCCCACCCCTGCCTGCCTGGGGCCACGGAGGGCCTTCGTGGGGCTTCCTTGCACTCCCGCCAGCCTTGCAGGTCCACCGCCGGGCCCCTCATGGGGCTCGGCAGTGGAGCTGCAAGGCCGGCGGTGGCGGCCGGGACCGTTGGGGGCGGGGTGTGTAGCCTTATGACACACTTCTGGTGATGTCAGGGGGTGTGGTATATGCTAATGAGTTATGCTAATGAGTTCCCCTAGCTCTTTTTCTACGAAACGACCCCTGAATTAGACCATTGCTCCATCAAAATGAGTAGTATCCACTAAGAGCGGCAGCGGCTCTCCAGGGTCTGAGGCAGACGTCTTTCACATCACCTGAAACCTGATCCTTAATGTAGATACTGGGACCTTCTACACACCAACCAGATGCCCTGTCACTGAGCTACAGTCTCTCCCCTTGCTGCATTTCTTATTCTCGCAACAGAATATTTTGATTCATTTTAATCAAAACACAATGAAAGGTTCACATTCGTTTCAGTAGATCTTAGATGCACATATAATGGTGGTGGGAAGCGTGGTCAAGTCACAACTGACTTATGGTGACCCTGTAGGGTTTTCAAAGCAAGAGGCGTTCAGAGGTGGTTTGCCGTTGCCTGCCTCTGAATAGCGACCCTGGACTTCCTTGGTGGTCTCCCATCCAGGTACCAAACAAGGTCAGCTCTGTTTAGCTTGCAAGATATGGTGAAATCAAGCTAGCGTGGGCCATCGAGGTCAGGGTTCACATATAGTGGTGGTAGTGGTGGTGGTGGCGGCGGTGACTTTTATGGTGGTGGTGACCCTTATGACTTATGGTGACCCTGTAGGGTTTTCAAGGCAAGAGACATTCGGAGGTGGTTTGCCATCACCTGCCTCCATGTGATGACCCTGGTATTCCTTGGAGGTCTCCCATCCAAATACTAACCAGGGCCGACCCTCCTTAGCTTCCAAGACTAGCCTGGTCTATCCAGGTCAGGGTAGCATAGGTTAAAACTGATATGGTGCTCTGAATGTGGGGCATTTTGACTACTGTGAAGAAGGTGATCATTAGAACCAAAAGCTCGGTTGCACTGTAAAGCACAGAAAATCTAGTTATACAGCCATCATTTCTGAAACCCAATTTTCTGCTTTTCACACCTCAGAGAGGGCATTTACAGTTGCCTTTCTCTTTTTCACACCTGTCTACAAACAGTAGGAAAGCACTAAATAGTACTTGTCATCTCCATCTTTCTTCTCTTTACTTTCTCATCATTATTGTGCTAAACCACAATTCGGGACTTTCTGTTTCCCACACAAGTCTGTCCTGTCCCTCAAAAATATTGCGTACCTTGACATTAGCACTTAAGTTACTCTGAAGTAGGTAGCTGACACATCATATCGCACATTGCTGCCTTTGTACAAGACTGAATAAATTTCCTCATAGCTAAATGGATATGAAGCAAATGCTTTGTATGCCCTAGAAACTGCCTTCTGCATTTTCAGTCACCATGAAAGCGACTCCCAATCTTCCAACTGCACATTAAGAATTTCAATTTGTAACTCCAAATCACTTGAAGCACCCATCATAAGAAAACACCTGTGAGGTAGGTGGGGCTGAGAGAGCTCTTTCAAAAACTGCTCCTGAGATAATAGCTCTGAAATAACTTGTAACTGACCCAAGGTCACACCAGGAGCTGCATGTGGAATAGTGGGGAATCAAACCTGGTTCTCCCAGATTAGAGTCCACTCTTTTTCATTTGTGGCAGCAATGCTTATAAGGCATTGCCCCCCAAATGGAAAGGACTCTGTACCCTAGGGTATGTTTTCCCCAATATAACTATGTATCTTTCTTTGAATGCCTCAGACGCCCCAAATCTGGGAAGTCTTGCCCATAAGATCAAGCCCAGAGAAGTTTTAAATCCATTAGTCGAACACCAGTCAGCCGGATGGCATTTTCTGAGGGTATTCTTCCCACAAATGGGGGTCGCAGATCTAGAAGCAGCCATTTTCAATGTTTCAGCAGAAATGGAACGGGGTTTCAGTGATACAATTGCTAGTATAACTCAATTACAAACAGAAATAGATTCTGTAGCCAGAATGGTAATGCAAAATAGAAAGGCCCTTGATATTTTTACAGCACAGCAAGGAGGCAAGGAGACACTCATCAGGGAGGAATGTTGTTTTTATGTCAATCAATCTGGACACATAGCCACACACCTCCAGGACCTTAAAGATGCTTTTAACGTGTTTCATCAAGTTTTCCTAGACACCACTTCAAATTGGTGGGACCTTTTCCCAAATATTACCAGAAGGCTTAAAACAGTATTATATTTTCTTCTTCTTGGAGGTTTCATAGTTTTAATAGGTTTCTTAGTTGTCTCTTGCACAGCAAAATGTATTCCTACCCTATTTTCCACAGGAATCAGAATAGTCTCTGATTCTACTGCTGCTGTTTC